CATTAGTTAAAGACTTTCTGAAAGAATATGTAGACTTTAAAAACAAATATTTCATCTATTTCGAAGACCCAGCTTTTAGGATAAATTTTTCAAACGTATTAATTCAATTATATAAGAAAGGAGCTTGCAAACTTGTTGAATGTACGGAAAGAATTATTAACTTAACCGATTCCGAGCAGGACCAACGAGAGATAGTGATAAAATATCACGAGGGTAAAACTTGTCATAGGGGGATCCAAGAAACATTTAATAAATTAAAACGGCATTATTGGTGGCAAAATATGAAAGAAACAATAACAGCTATAATAAATTCTTGCCAACAATGCAAAAAGATGAAATATGAAAGGAAACCTATAAAACCTCATATTCAATTAACACAGAGTCAAAGCACACCGTTCCAAGAAGTTTTCATAGATCTACTATTCATAGAAAGTAAATATTATTTGACAATTGTTGATGCTTTCAGTAAGTTAGGGCAAGCGATAAACATCCCAAATCGCAGTACCCCTGAAGTTGTAAGAGCCTTAATTAAATACTTTAGTATGTATGGTTTACCACAGAAAATAAATAGCGACTCAGGTACAGAATTTAATAACGAATTAATAAAAGAACTTCTAAATCTTTATAAAATAGAGCTCCACATAGGAACACCAAATAACCCTAGTTCCATGGCAATAGTTGAAAGATTCCACTCCACCATTAACGAAATATATAGATTAGCTAAGTACGATAAGACAGATCTTGATGCCTGCTCTGTGATGACATATGCGATAATGGCTTATAATAATAGTATTCATTCCGCAACAACCTTTACACCATTTGAAATTGTTTTCGGTACCACCGATTCAGGTAACGTCTTCGATATAGATAGGGAACGTAATTTGATGCAAAAGCTCTTACAAGATCATAGAAAACGTCTTAAAGTTCTTTATGAATATGTAGCCGAGAAATTACAGACAGATAAGATTAAGGTTAGAGAAAAAAGAGGAGGTGAGGAAGTCCCAGAAATTAAAGAAGGGGACGATATTTTTATGAAAACTACTAGGACAAGAAAAGCAAAAGATAAGCCACGTTTTGAAAAAGCCAAAGTCATAGGGAAACCGGATCATAATATAATACCCGTTAAACTTAATAAGAGACAAACTAGAATAGCTATAAAAATATTAAACGTCCTCCACAGGTCGTAGCTAGTACTTCTGGCATTGGCAAAACTGTCCAACGGCCTAGATCTACAGAACCTGAACACCAATCCGGGGATAGCTCCTCTGAAAGTTGGGATGGCAGTTATCAGGAATAACTCGTGGACCATTTTGAAAACATTAGATTTAAAGTTGGTAGTTGAACAAATAGATATTAATACTGAACAATATAATTGCGTAAGTAAGATTATTAGTAATAATAGTGAAGTTGGAGATGAATTTAGGGGGTTAATTAAGCAAATAGAAACATCCATAGATTTAACAAATAATAAAATACATCAGATTTTACCTATATCTAAAATAAGTAAACGAGCCATATTTAGTCCTTTAGGTTCCTTAGTTAAAGTTATCTCAGGCAACTTAGACGAAGAAGACGCTAGGCACTTCGACTCACAAATAAGTCAGGTGAATAATAGAGAACATTTGGTCGAACACCGAGTCACTTTGCTACAACAAGCATTTAACAAGCTTGTTAATGCGTCGGAAGACATAAATTCGAATGTCAATCGTTTACAAAATCAGGAAATAGATTCTATACTTCATAAGGAAAGGTCTCTAAAAAATGTTGTAACAATATTAAATACTTTATATCAAATTTCGAACAATTTTCGAACAATTTTAGATGTAATACAAGAAATAGAAACAGCTATTGCTTTTAGTAAATTACATACTTTACATCAATCAATCATAAATTCAACAGAACTATTAAATATGTTAATAAATATAGAAAAATATGCCAAATTGATTTACCTAGCAAATAAGGAAAATTTAATTAAGTTAGAAAGAAATATAGTAGTTAAATCGTATGTCAATAGGAATAACTTAGTTTTTGTATTAGATATCCCATTAATTGAACCAGACATATACACATACTACAAAATAATACCAATTCCAATATCTAATTCCGATGTTACCCATATCATAATCCCATCATATCCTTTCCTATTGGTGAAAAGATTGAAATACCGATCAGCGGTGAGTCCCTGTGAAGAAATCGACGATGAAAAGTTCTTATGCCCAGAGGAAAGTCTCGCAGAGTATCCAGCTGAAACATGTATTGAGCAAATAATGCAGATGAAAAGCAACCACAGTAGCTGCCAGCAACATAATATACGATTGGAGAATTTGAAAATCCAGAGGATCTTCAAGAACTATTGGCTACTGTATACTACTAAGGACTTGATAATAACTGAACACTGTCCAGAACATGTACAAAAATACCAAGTGCAAGGCACATATATAATGATACCTAATCAAGAATGTAGAACACAGGTTGGAGACACATTCATCAACGCTCCGAGGTACTTTGCGAATATCAAACTTCAGCTTCCCACAATCGAGATGCCAACCGTACGAGAGGATGGCATCAAGAAAGAAGCAAAACAGTTAGATTTAAGAAACGTGGACTTCAGTGATATAAAAGAACTAATAAATAGTGCTAAATTCAGTGATAACTAAATAAATACAAAATTCTTAGTAACAAGTGAAATCAGTGTATGGACCATAAGTTTATATCTCATTATAGTAATCTGTATAGTATGTAGCATTTTAATTAAATTCAAATTATGTTGTCGAAATTCTCCGAAGTCGCTTGAGCCACCTTCGGATAATTTCTCTCTTGAGGGGGGAGGAGTTAAGGCTGAGCACCCCTGCCAAATCTCATTCGTTCGCACATCATCAGCAATCCCATCTGGGTCAAACGTATGCAGTAAATAAGCTTAGTAAATAGTTTTGTAGCATATAACTTAAGTATAAATAGACAATTGTAATCATTTAAAATCGAATATTGTAGTAATAACTTCTTACTGTAACTCTGTCAAAATAAATAAATATATTTTTTATTGAAGTTGGGTTCATTATCTTAATTCGCGCGTATCGTACCGACAAATTTATTTGAAATATTAATTATATAATATTATTCAACTTCAATGAATGTATCATCATTTCTAATTAAACAATATAACTCTTCCAATTTAAAACGATATTTCCACAATTACGAGGGGGCACTGAAAATTTTGGGAATCAAGGAAGTGACACAACATTACTATTTAAAAATGTATTTATTTACGTCCACAGCTTCTTCAGGTGATGAAAATCTCTGTCCACGCAATTTATTCTTTATTTTAGGGAAAGTATAGAAATCATTAGGGCTTAGGTCGGGGCTGTACGGCGGATGGTCTTATAATTCTATGTTTTCTTGCTCTAAAAACTCTTTTGTTCTGTGTGCGGTGTGACAACTCGCATTGTCGTGATGGAGGGTGATGCGGCGGTTGCAGTTCTCTTTACGGAGTTCAGAAACGACCTGTGGCAAACAAATGCTAGCATACCATTCTGCATTAACCGTTCTTTGTCCCTCAAGAGGAATAGTCGTAACATGGCCGGTTTTGGAGACAAACGTGGCCACCATTTTTTTGCAACACTCCGTGAACGTGAAACGAACAAACTCGTGACGCGAGCCACTTTTTGCTCTTCACAGAGCGAATGCGGTATCCATCGGGAAAACAACTTTTTTACACCTAATTGTTCATGCAAGATTATTTGTATTTGACTCATGCCAATGTCTAAAATTGCCTGAATTTCGCGGTATGTCACATGTCGATCTTTCTCAATCAGCTTACGCACAGCACCAACGTTTTCTTGGGTGACTGCAGTTTTTGGACGACCTTGACGGGTATCATCACTGAGCTTGACACGTCCACGTTGAAATTCAGCAAACCAGCGACAAATTGTGGTTTTGGATGGGGCTTCATCACCAAATGCAGAAATCATCCGGTCAACACACTGTTTTTGTGTTAAAGCACTTCGAAAGTCATAATAAATCATCGCTCTTGAATTTTCTCGAGTCAATTCCATTTTCTCAACGACTAAACAAGTTTGACAAAACCTTGTGACAAAACCGAGAATCTTTTTTTAAATAAATAAATGGTATTCGATTTTTAAAACCAAGGAGTTTTCAATTAAAAAGATTTTAATATGATAGGAACAGTGGAAATATTCCATTCCCGATACTTTTAGTGCAGCCTATGTATTTCTTCTGGGGCTGCAACGCGCCGGGTACCAGCTAGTAAATATAAAATAAAAATATTTCATGGAAAATATGATCATTTTCAATCATAAGCAAGGCGTAACATAGTTTTTGTTTAGATAAAAGAGTATTTAAAAAAAGTAATTTTATATTCCAAATAAATCCTTATTTTTAGTCATTTATATTGTTTATTTTAGTGTAATAAATCAAAATTTTTTTTCGAGTAAAGTTGCTTTGTAATAGCGCCATCTACTTCATTCTATAGGTAAAGTCAAATCGAACAAAAAAACCATGTGTGAGTGTCGTGGAACACTCGGTTGGAACGAAGTTCCTTTCGTAGTATATTATTATTGATAAACGTATTATATTATTGATTATCATATACAAATAATGATTTCTAACGTCTAATGAAACGTCATTAAAAATAATATTTCTTTCATGGCAAGATAAGAAAAGGTGCGAGGTGCTATAGGAAGGGACTAACGATATTTGAAGCAACGCACAAAGAGGAAACCGAGATAATAGGAGACACTGTATACTGTATTCTATATCATTCTCTCGCAGGCTAAATCCTATTGATGTATATGTTTGTCTTTTTTCGTTTCATCGAGTTTCAAATCACAACGATATTAAAGTTTTCATTTCAAAAAAATACAAGTTATAAAAAAGGTACAATTGGCGGCTTTATCGCTTAGAAGCGATCTCCACCAGGCAATCACATTTCAGAGGGTATAATGACCCGTGAGAAGGGGTAAGGGTGTACGCAAGTTACATACCTGGTGATTCCGATGCCGTAGCAGGATATGTGTAGCGGCGTAGAGGCCGCGTCTACGGCGGCGTAGTGCGCGCGTAGCGGCTCGCTGTAGCGCACACGCACACGCACACATTTTTTCTCTTTATCGGGATTACTAACTGTTTAATGTATAACTAACTTATACATATCTATATATGCGAAATACCACTGACTTGCTCACTAATCACGAGATCTCCAAAACTATACGCTCGACTGACTTGAAATTTGGCATATACAGGGTATTTTTGGAACGCTCCCGAAAACTAAGACAGGCGACAGCACCAAGTATATCTTTGATCATGGGTAACACATAAATTCGATCCTGATGAAAAAAAAATCATCTTTTTACAACGTTTTATTAGCTTTATTCACGCGCTATCATGTTAGTACAGCTAAATGAAACGATAATTTCATAAAAAAAAATCATGAAAATACTGAAACATAAAACCAGCAGTGGAATTACTGAATTGATATCAGCTGATTTGAGGTCAATGTACGCGCGAACGCAAATTCGAGCGGCCCGCAACTAGCGGGCCATACCACATTACCTAATAATTTACAACACTTGTCTAAATACCTAACTTATCTACTTAACCTACTATTTTGCCACTGTACTTGTCTCCACGTAGCCACTTTAATACGAATTTACAGGTTAAATAACCCAAATAACTGGTTCGATTCCCCGCTAATGAAAAAATACTTAAATTAATGAAATGTAACCAAGATTGGAGTCATGCGTTTTTATTCATCGTGTAGGTATGTTTATTATTCTCATGTATTCAGTTATGTACCTATTCAGATTAGTCCAGTACTAAGTTATTTAAAAAAAATACTTATGAAACAGCTTACCGCTCGAAATCCTCCGTGGTCTTATGAGATGCGGCTCAAATTGTGCTCCATTCATTTCAAGGCAGATTTGGGCTCGGTGTTGCATCTCCTCATGCAGGCGGGGCATCATCGTGTAGTCTTCGACACAGTCCGTATGTAATTTGTCGAAAACATCCACGATCCTTTTGTAGTTTCGTCAGCACTATCACACTCACGATTAAAAACCCTTTCTTTCACATACCCCCACAGAAAGAAGTCTAACGGGATCAGATCTGGTGAGCGAGGTGGCCAAGCGTGTGGTCCTAGTCTGCCGATCCAGCGATCATCAAATAGCTCATTGAGGCGCTCACGGACTAACCTCACGACATGTGGAGGGGCACCATCATGCTGGAGCCATGTGCGGTGATATTCAGCCAACGATAGGTTGTCTAAAATGTCCACCAACTGTTCATTTATGAATTTCAGGTATCGCTGTCCGTTAAGTCGCTGTGGCAGAAACACTGGTCCTAGTATGCGATTCTTAAATAAACCTGCCCATACGTTAACCGACCATCGGGTTTGGTGCCCGGTTTGTCGAACAGCGTGCGGGTTAACCTCTGAATACACGTGTGTATTTCTTCGGTTCCACAGGCCGTTTCTGGTAAATGTCGACTCGTCCGTCCAGATGACGTGCTCAATGAAACCAGGCACACGTTGTTGTTGGTCTAATAACCAACGGCAGAAGATTCGCCGGCGGTCGTGATCGCCGGTAACTAACGCTTGCACTTTGTACACTTTATATGGGCGCAGTCGGTTACGCTTTAACACTTTGTGAACTGTACAGTATGATACACTTGTTCTATCCCGACGCCTTAACAATTTAGCGATACTTCGTGTACCTAGGTTCGGATACCTAACATGTTGAGCACTATAATCGTACGCGTTAGGCATTATTAAAACAAAAAAGAGTCCAAAAACGTAACAACAACAATAATATCAACACGTAATCACAAGTAAATTTATTAAACAAAACGATTGAACTATCGCTCGCGCACGCGTGTACAAAATCAACACGGAACTGTCTCAAAAACTAAAACGAACGAACCCCGCCAAGGCTGAAACCTACTGCGTCACAAGCGTGAGGCGACAGGGTTAGGCATTCTGCCGTCATAATAAAGAAGGACGCAACTAACAAAAACGTAAAATCGAAATAAAAAATAAATAGATGAATTTTTCTTTCAGACCCTGCTGTGTCTAAAGTATATTAAAAGGTATCAATATGAAAATTGAAATACGTAGAGACTTGAAGATTTTAAAGACGAACTTATTTTTTTGATAATTTGTTTATTTATTTAAATAAAACGAATTTTCTTTTTCATTTTAGCTTAAAAAAATACACCTGGCCACATAAAAACATCGAATGAAAGACGCATATAACCATTTTGCGTCTTTCCAACGTAATAAATATAAAAACCGCCATTCATTTAACATTTTTACATATTTTGGAAAGGTCATTTGAAGTTGAAAGGACGCTAATAGTAATTTACTACTTTTTTTTATTATTAGTAAATATTAGAAAAGCATTGGTAGTGAGACACATAAAATAACAACCCGCAACTCTTGAGTTATGATTTTAAAGGGGATATCATACCAGACTAACTACGATAATAATTAAAAATTAAAAATTTTTACAACCGACTTCAATATAAATAATTAAGGATAACTCAAAAACTATTGGTCTGACCTCGATCAAATTTATATGGGACAACATGTGAAACACCAGCTCTTAATAATAAGATATAAGCTCTTAATAATAAGATAGAATAATAAGACAAGAATAATCGAAATTTAAGTAATCGATGCAAATATTGTTAAAGATGACGTAGCAACTGGTTAAATAAGTCTTTTCTTTTATGTCGAATTTGTATTGTGGAGTGTAGAGAGAAGGAGGACCATCTCTATACTATGAAAAGTGTCCCTAAAAACGTGTCGAATAAGGGTGGCGCTGCAGTAGTATAGGATAAATTAAAAAAAGCGCCAAAAGTAATTAGAGTAAGATGGAGAAATAAACAAGGACCGATTAATCCGCTTGGTTTTGTACTACGTAAATAGTTGAGATTTTGTGTACTGGCATTTTACTAACTACTCTAGTCATGAAATTTTTTAAATATTTGAATTCAGCTGACTTCACTCCGTCCATAACAGCTATCTTCATATCGTAGTTTTTCAAACGCCAGCGCTATTGTGGTAGGTTTTGGAACCTCTATTTTCAGTAAATAGTAGGACACTTTTTCAACTTTCGCCCCTTATAAGATGGTTCTCCTTGTACTCTACACTCCATAATTTGTATAAGTCTTTTCTACTAAAAAAATGTCATCTGTGATCAACAGTTACGTCTAAAATTCTTACGATATTTTCTAAAATATTGATATTTTTGAATATTAAAAAATTTAGTAGATGCGCCTTTTTATCATGAGTCGAATGGTATATTTAACTCATTTATTCAAAAATTGTTAGATGCGCCCTTTTTTCTTATGACGGCAGCATTGTTTCGCACCGAGCTAGATACAGGTCGACAGTGTAGTTACAGTCGCGTTCTAAAGTACTACATGGTATTGGGATATTGTTTTATAATATTATAGTAATTAATTGTTTTATTGTAGAATCATAATAGGTGCTTTACTAGCTACTTAGAACTTTGGAAAAGGTTGGAATTAAAAATGGATAATGTTTACTTTAGCATTATTTGTTATTTCTATCGTAAAATATAAAGTAGTTTGTAACAAGAAAACTTAAGCTAAGGGTGACACGCCGTCCATTATGTCGTCTTGGGTCACATGGAAGCCAGATGTTGATGGTGTGTTGGTGTTACTGGATGCTACTTCATCATCACTTTCATCTTCGCTTGAGCTTCCGTCATCAGGTCGATCACATGGTAAGTTTTTTGGTATTCTTCCTCAACACTTTTAACTTTATTGCACAATTTTCCCCATTCACCTTCTCCTATCATATTTACCTTTTCGTTCACTAGTTTAGTCATAAAACAATAGATATAAATAATTTTAGCTTTACTTAGCCGTAATACTTTAGAACGCGACTGTACCCATGCGCAAACACTCCCTCCACAGAAATTTAATTTGCCAGCGACAATAGAATCAGAGGCGGCAATCACTATAAAAATTGCAAGTCATTTTTAATAATTTACGAACCTCTTTTTAAATTCAAAGTATTGGCCGGATTAAATACGGAAAGTCAATTATAATAAAATAAAAGTATTATTTTTTACATTAATTCTGATTGATAATATCAACTGTCGATCATAATTGCAATTGATTTTAACTATTAAATTATTCAGTACCATTTCATTTCTATTTTCTTATACAAAAACAAAGATAACGATGAAATAGTGTTTATAATTGTGTGAGTACTGAGTACCCAATTAGGTACGTTTATTAATTTCAATATTTTTTGTAGTAAAGAACTGCTTGTTGCGTCAGGGTACAATTGATTGTGTAATTGTATTAAAAATGACAACCATAACTTTTAAATTCCATATGAAGACTAGTCGTAGTGATAAATAAATAAACGTTGGCGATGTCTTAACATACATAACGCTTTAACGGTGTCTGGAAAGTCCCAGTGCTTCAAGGACATTGCCGCATTTGTTTTAGCGGAATAAATTAATAATTTTAGTTTTTGTTACAGTTCCGTCTTGACTGTGGCGAGAGACAGTACAATTTTTTTTGTTTATTAAATTATTCTTGTTATTTATTACTTAATGATATTATTCTTGTTGTTACGGTTTAAGTTTCTTGTTTTGTTTTTATAATGCCTAACGCCTACGTTTATAATGCTCGTGAATACGGCAATATGTTAATGTGTCTTGGTGAAGCTCGCGGGAATGCTTCGCATGCATTGCGAATTTATCGAGAGAAATTCCCGACCGCTCGACATCCAGCTGACTCTCGTCTGATAACAGCAGCATTTCAGCGAGTGTTGGAAAATCGGCCCATTGCTCTGGTAGCGGCAGGAGGTGGAAGTCAAGTGGCTGTTCACTCAGAGGAGCGTATTTTAGATGTCGTTTGCCGGAATCCGAACCTAGGTACACGAAGTATCGCTAAATTGTTAAGGCGTCGGGATAGAACAAGTGTATCATACTGTACAGTTCACAAAGTGTTAAAGCGTAACCGACTGCGCCCATATAAAGTGTACAAAGTGCAAGCGTTAGTTACCGGCGATCACGACCGCCGGCGAATCTTCTGCCGTTGGTTATTAGACCAACAACAACGTGTGCCTGGTTTCATTGAGCACGTCATCTGGACGGACGAGTCGACATTTACCAGAAACGGCCTGTGGAACCGAAGAAATACACACGTGTATTCAGAGGTTAACCCGCACGCTGTTCGACAAACCGGGCACCAAACCCGATGGTCGGTTAACGTATGGGCAGGTTTATTTAAGAATCGCATACTAGGACCAGTGTTTCTGCCACAGCGACTTAACGGACAGCGATACCTGAAATTCATAAATGAACAGTTGGTGGATATTTTAGACAACCTATCGTTGGCTGAATATCACCGCACATGGCTCCAGCATGATGGTGCCCCTCCACATGTCGTGAGGTTAGTCCGTGAGCGCCTCAATGAGCTATTTGATGATCGCTGGATCGGCAGACTAGGACCACACGCTTGGCCACCTCGCTCACCAGATCTGATCCCGTTAGACTTCTTTCTGTGGGGGTATGTGAAAGAAAGGGTTTTTAATCGTGAGTGTGATAGTGCTGACGAAACTACAAAAGGATCGTGGATGTTTTCGACAAATTACATACGGACTGTGTCGAAGACTACACGATGATGCCCCGCCTGCATGAGGAGATGCAACACCGAGCCCAAATCTGCCTTGAAATGAATGGAGCACAATTTGAGCCGCATCTCATAAGACCACGGAGGATTTCGAGCGGTAAGCTGTTTCATAAGTATTTTTTTTAAATAACTTAGTACTGGACTAATCTGAATAGGTACATAACTGAATACATGAGAATAATAAACATACCTACACGATGAATAAAAACGCATGACTCCAATCTTGGTTACATTTCATTAATTTAAGTATTTTTTCATTAGCGGGGAATCGAACCAGTTATTTGGGTTATTTAACCTGTAAATTCGTATTAAAGTGGCTACGTGGAGACAAGTACAGTGGCAAAATAGTAGGTTAAGTAGATAAGTTAGGTATTTAGACAAGTGTTGTAAATTATTAGGTAATGTGGTATGGCCCGCTAGTTGCGGGCCGCGCGAATTTGCGTTCGCGCGTACATTGACCTCAAATCAGCTGATATCAATTCAGTAATTCCACTGCTGGTTTTATGTTTCAGTATTTTCATGATTTTTTTTATGAAATTATTGTTTCATTTAGCTGTACTAACATGATAGCGCGTGAATAAAGCTAATAAAACGTTGTAAAAAGATGATTTTTTTTTCATCAGGATCGAATTTATGTGTTACCCATGATCAAAGGTATACTTGGTGCTGTCGCCTGTCTTAGTTTTCGGGAGCATTCCAAAAATACCCTGTATACTCCCCTTCCTCGACGTAGACACCCACCCACTCAGAAAAGATTTTGAAAAATTCAATCCCTAATGGGGTGAAATGGGGTTTTACAGCTTGTATAATATTGTTGCGCGCCACTATTAATGTCTTGTACATGGCAACACTAGTTACACTAGCGCCCTCTAGTGTCGAGTAGCAGAACTAGGAGAGTCGAGATCCTTCCAGAAATTTCGGAACCGATATGTACTCGAACATTCTAGATGTCGCTACAGTAGAAGGTTCTAGAAAATATCTGAGGCCCTATATAAGGCCGGTATAGACCACGACCGGGGCGGTATTGAATTGGCGATACAAGAGAATACTTCGAAGCGAAATAAAGGCGAACTGTGTTTTATTATTAGTGTGATTTTAAGTTGTAATTAGTGTTGTGTAATTAAAGTGTCAATTTTGGTAATTCAATCGGCAGTTTTTAATTGTCTCGAACTCCAAGCTCGTAACAATTGGTGTCAGAAGTGGGATCAAATATGCCGATTTTACCTAAAGACGACACGGAGGGTATCCGTACCCGAAGTCAACGCCAACAGGAGACGGACCAGAGACGATTTGGTAATGCAACGCCGCAAACGTCGGAGGGCCAGCTGCTAACCACGGAGGCCGGACCGTCAGCAGCTCCTGCATCCGCAGCACCTGACTTAGGTGCTCTGATGATGATGCTGCAGGATCAGGCTCGCCGACAGGACGAACAGGCCCGCCGACAGGAGGAACAGGCCCGCCGACAGGAGGAACAGGCCCGCCGACAGGAGGAACAGGCCCGCCGACAGGATGAACAGACCCGTCGGTTGGAAGAGCAGCTGCAGCGCGGTATGGAAGAGCAGATGCTCCTCAGGAAAGACCTTCACGCTACCTTCGGGAAAGAGATAAAGGAGGTGAAGGATAGGGTTGCTCAACATGACAACCGCCTGTCGGAAGCTGAAACCCGAATCGACCAAGTGAACAATCGGGTTGACAACGTGATGGTAGACATGAAAAAAACGCTGGATGACCTCAAAATTGGGGATGGAGTTACAGCTCCCGTGGTAGCTACTACACCGTCGCTACATGGATTCAAAGTACCGCCGTTCGACGGGACTTCTTCCTGGTCGGCCTACAAAATCCAGTTCGAGGCTGTCATGAAAGCGAACGGCTGGAATAAAAGTCAGGCCATGACTGCTCTCACTCTAGGCCTACGCGACCAGGCCTTAACTGTTCTGGAAGCTCTCGGTACGGAAGTGACTTACGAGCAGCTCCTTGAGGCATTGGAGGCGAGATACGGCGATGCTGACCTGGAACACGTCTTTCGTGCGCAGCTCAAAGATCGCGTGCAACGCAGTAACGAAAACCTGCAGCAATGGGCCCTTGAGGTGGAGAAGCTGGTTC